TAAGCACGTCGAACGGTGGGAGTAGGCCCCTGGCGTTGTGAGTAGGCGAAAGCAGGATTGTAGGCGCCGGAGTAGGCGTGGAGTGGCCATAGGCGTGGAGTGGCCGTAGGCGTGTCGGGTACCGGCCGCCCCAAAAAATCCTTCCACAAAAAACGACGAAAAGCAACCGAAAAGAAAAGAAAAGAAAAAAAAAAAAGCGGAAGGGCCGTTTGGGCGGACCGAACCGGTATCGCACGGCCCAGATTGCGGGCCGGTCACCACCTGCGGACGGCCCAGATCGCATGCCGATGAGAAAAGTTTCTCATCGGCCTGCGGTCTGGGCCGTCCACGGGTGGTGACCGGGCCGTAACCTGGGCCGGTAGATATGACGTTAGCGATTCTTATAGTATTGTAGCAGTCATTTCACAGAGCAGAACTAGAGTCAAGCTCAACAGGGTCTTCTAAAACTTGGACCATTTCTTGTCTTGATTTATGCATGTAATTGCATTGTGTCATTTCCATGCATATTCATTTTAATTTGCAAGGAGCAACATTCCATGACCTATTTATAACATTTGGCAAAAAAATCCCACGTTTTTGTTTGAATTTTTGCACCGTGCAAACTACAGCACAGCAAGTTGTCACCAGCTGATGCGGCACGGTTTGGAGCTATGACTCGAGTAGTACTTCAAGAGCAAGAAGAATATCGGAAGGTATCGTACTATTTTCGTTTTCATTGTTTTTTGCCCGAAAAAGAAAGGAGTAGTGAAAAGTTCTTTCTTCTGCGATGGAGCCAATGTTCCTATTCGGAAAAGACCCCTATCCTACGTGCTACTGTTTATATTACCTGTTCGTTTCGGAATTCATTACTTGGTCTGTACATTTGTCTTTTGTAGATGTTTGTCTTTTGTGCACTTTTATCTTTTGCCATTGTCGTCATTTAGGGCCTTGTATAAATAAATCTGTTCCAGTGACTCCTCTCAGCACCTGTTCAAAAGTTCAGCAATTGAACCACCACTGCCTCCCAGGCTCCTTTTCCCATGGTGGGTTTCTGCTGCACGCCAAGTTGGTCTGGCACCACTCCAGTACGCAGAGCCAGCAAAGAATGTGGTGATGAACAAATTCGTCGCAAATGTTTGCCGGTGAAAGGTAGTGCTGGTTTAAGATGCTCCACTGCACAGCAATGTTTTTTCATTCGTATGCTCAAAATGGTTGACCAAGTTCTTACTTAACTCAATTTTTAGCTCACTGTTTAACTCGGAGTTTGTTTACTTCACTGCATCCATTTAGTCCATTTCTTGTTGACGCTTGTGGTTTGCTCTCTCAGCTCCTTGGCATGCTCACCACAGCTGTGGTGTTGAGGCCATGTTCTTCCTCGTATTTCGGCTCAGTGTCAATGTCTAGATGCATTGCTGTTGTATTATTTTATAGTTATGACTTATAAGATTATATGGTTAGTTTTTTCAACTTTTTTGCAAGGAAAATGAGCTGAAATGAGCCAAGTACTTGTCAAGTTCAACCTCGCATACATCCATGAACATTCACATGAGTTCACACATGAGAAGCCAAATCGAGATACAATCAACACTTGAAGATGTCGTCTCCAATATTATTATCAATATACAAGAATGTTTGTCTCCAGCGGCTCTGCCGCACGGCTATGGCTTCTCCCCTCTTCTCTCCCTCTGACTTGATCACATAACGACTATGGCTTCTCCCCTCTTCTCTCTCTCTCTCTCTGACTTGACTCACTCTGCCTCACTCTCTGTTGTCTCTCTCTCTCTCTACCCTGGATCGTTACCCTGGATACACCCACTCAGGCAGCTTACACCTTGGCGGCTATGGCCGCCGTCCTCCTGCTCTACGTCTAGCCTAGCTATGGAGTATCTCACAGGCGCCCTCTCCTTCTTCAGGGGCGCAGTGCCCAAGTTGCCTTGACGCACACGCAGCAGCAGCGCTTCCGCTTCTCGCAACTGAGCAAGTGCCAAGCTGCTGCACTGTAGCAGCTAAATATAGGACTTGGCTTGGCTTGGCTTGGCTTGGCTTGGCTTGGCCTGCTTCAGACCGGTACCGGTCGGCCACGGCCTGTCTTCTGCAAACATTTTGTCGGTCCAGTAGCGTCCGGGCTTTCCTGGGACATGCTGCAAAATTGGACTTGGGACTGTCGGACTGGACTGGACGCTTCTGGACTTTTCTTGTCGGGTACCGGACGGACTCCTACCGACCTACGACGCTTCGGTACCGACACCTACCGACCTACGACACTTTGGCCTCTATCCCCTACGGCCTACCCTACCGGACGGCCCTGGGACTTGGGACTTGTCGGGATGCTGGGACCGGGACTGGTTGTCTGCAGAGTGGACCCTTTCACTCCCGCCGGCCTAATTTCGAGGTCCTCCGAGAAAAATAATAACTTTATCGATCATACACATTCACTCCCCGTCTAGCCCTCTCATAATAGGAGACAATGTGAGGGGCTGTTTGTATTAGTTCCTCCCTGGGGAACCAGCGGTCTTCGCTGGGTTCCAGATAGGTGAATCTAACTTTGTATTGCCTTTGCGGTCTCCCTCGGCGACGTGTACGGCAAGTATCTTCAGCAACTATTCGGTCTATGTCATAACCTCCATCCATATCAGGTGGAATCATGGAACGTCGAGAGCGAAACTGATCGTTTGTAATACAGGGAAGCAACTTAGACGCGTGGAATACTGGATACGTATGCAGGTGGGGTGGAATCTCGATAGTGTAGGATGGACCATCTGCCTCTCCTTTGACGTCTAAGACTTGCCATGGCCCCCTATACGCAGGTAGCAGTTTCTGGGAGATCTCGTCTTCCGGAATGAACTCCTTAGACTTTACCCAGACCAAGTCTCCTACCGCAAACTGCGATGGACGTCGGTGTTTGTTGGCCTGCTCTACCATCTGGTGCTGGGAGACACTCCCCCGACTCCCTAGAGAAAGACACCCACCACTCTCGGATCCATGTCACCTCCCCCCTGTTCCCTCCAGTTGTAGCCCGCTGACTCAGTTAATCCTTAAACACTAAACCCTCGCCTCTCTTTCTGGACTGGTAGCACCTGTAATGGCATTGTCTATGCCGTGCCTGCTTTCTCACTGCTCTGCTCATCCAGGTCCTGAAGCTGCTGGGCTCCCTGGGCTTGGGAAATCCAGTCTTCTCCCAGCGCCCGCCATGTCCATCTCAATCCGTATTCCTGAAGCTCCGCCACTTTACCTTGGCCTATTATATTGTTATTGCAGACCTCCCTTATCTGCTGGGCTTTATCTGAAGAAGATTCCCTTTGTTTACGTGTTGCCAACCCTTGTGCCGTGATCTCAGTCTTTAATAGCATTCTAAGCACTGCCCTTGCCTCATTCCTATGCCTCTGGTGCCTGCGGTTGTAGCCTGGCATCTGCTCTTCCAAATGATCCACATCCCATATCGGCGAAGCTTTGATAATGGGTCCTTGCTCACTTTTTGCCATAATGCCTTAACTTCTTGCCAAAGTTGTTGTGCTTTTGCACAGTTGAGCAGGCAATGGCTTACTGTTTCTCTGAGACCACCTTCGCAGACGATACAGAGTTCGTTTTCCCGACTCCTATCCTCGTGCCTCCTTCTTTTGTTGAGCCAGACGTTCATCAGTAGCAGTAGACAGATGCATAGACACTGGAAGCTCCTGACTTTGACCAGTCGCATCGCTCCCAACCTTGTCCATGGGAATCCTTGTATCTGCCCTGGCGTGGTACCCATCTGTTTTTCCCATCTTGCTGCAGCTGGCTCAGTGACTTTATGCTTGCAGCGGCTTGGAGGACTATCCATTGTGGAACGGCTAAGTAAGTTGGCATATTAATGCCCATGACCTGTTTGGTCATTCGTGTGTTAAATATGAGTTCATTATACACATCTGCATCCAATGCCTGCAAAGAAGGTTGTGCATCCTGTCTGTCCTCAGAAGTTTCATTCTTCTCTCTCTCTCTCTCTCTCTCTCTCTCTCTCTCTCTCTCTCTCTCTCTCTCTCTCTCTCTCTCTCTCTCTCTCTCTCTGTGTTTGTGTGCCTGTGTTTTCCTGACTGTCCAGAAGTTTCACACCTCTCTCTCGTCGTGCTTGTGTGTCTGCGTCCGGAAATTTCACACTCAGCTCTGTCTCTGTTTGCCTCTGTGTGTGTGTGTGTGTGTGTGTGTGTGTGTGTGTGTGTGTGTGTGTGTGTGTGTGTGTGTGTGTGTGTGTGTGTGTGTGTGTGTGCCTGTGTTTTCCTGACTGTCCAGAAGTTTCACACCTCTCTCTCTTCGTGCTTGTATGACTGCGTCCAGAAATTTCACACTCAGCTCTGTCTCTGTTTGCCTCTCTCTCTCTGTCTATCTCTATGGGTGGGTTTGTGTGCATGTGTGCCCCTTGTTTCCTTCCCTTGTGGATGCAGGTTATCTTCAGAGAAGGGATGAAAAATAGCGCTCGATACAAGGTGTATCACAAAAAGATAGCTTCATATGTCGAGGTGATTGAACTTTTGAAAATTTTCTCAGTAGCTTCATATTTTCAATAACCATGACTCTCCGTAGAACTAGGTTTTGCCGTCATCATCCTAGAAAGGACCAAACAGAAAAGACAAAGAGTCTCTCTCTTTTTTTTTTTTTTTTTTTTTTAAAAACAATCCCTCACCTGTGTTAGTGGTGCTGATAAGAGCAGACACCACTAGCACCAGGGGAGAGGCTCCATCTATTGGTGGGGAGCGTCACCTGCTGGAAAGCGGGTCCAGCGTCCCTTATACAAAATGAAATTGTAATGTATCTGATACACAGTTTGGGGAAATTCCTGCCAGTATTGATTGCCCCGAGATCCAGGGGATTGACTGAGCAGGATATTAGACAGAGTATTTGACAGGGGGGAAACCTCTTCGCCTGAAAGCCTGCGTCAGATATACCGTTCCCACTACTAGTTCCTCCCCCTGAAATATGTCGAGTCTTTTACTGGCTGGAAAACGGGTCCAGCGTCCCATGTGCAGGATCTGGAAGGAGCCACTGGGGGCCACAAAGAGTCTCTCAACCTAGGGAACAAACAAGGCTGAATGAAGTGAACCAATGGCAATCACACAGACAGTGATTTTCAAGCTTGCAAGCGAAACGGGACGCAGAGAGCGGACTAACCAAGTTGTCACTGGTACTTGACATTTATGCATTCTTTTCATTTTTCTGTATTGATACCTCACCGGATGGTCACAGTGGAATTATTAAAACACATCACACTATATCAACCAAAGCATCTCAATTCAGATGATGGCCACATCACCCACTTGGCATGCACACTGAAAAGAAAAAGAAAAAAAAAGGGACAAGCACTTTATGTACATCTTAAAGTAGGATGCGCAGGGCTGAATCAGTGTTGCTGAAACGGTTTTCACCTTTGCAGAAGCAGATGCAGATCCCAGGGTTCGATCCCCAGACCTTACCTTACCCATGTACAGTATCGAGTTGACCCCTGAGTGTTTGAACCCGTGACCTGTGTGTTAGTAAACAGTTGGTAGGCTGTCGTAGGTCTATAGGAGGTAGGGGTTCGAACTGTAGACCTGTCAGATAGAGGTCCTAGTGGGTTCTAGAAGCCGTAGCTGTAGCAGTCCTGAAAGGTCAAGGTCGTAGCTGCTACAGTGTTCGACTGGCCAAACCTACAGACTTCTGGAAGGTTCCGGAAGTGGCCTTTCGAAGTTTGCTCACGTTTAGGCAGAGGCAAGTGGGCAAGTGGGGAGGCCAACTGCAGTACGTCTGCAGTACGACTGCGGTAAGTTAGCAGTGCGTCCCCATGCAGTCAACGGTACGGTCCAGTCAGTCCCAGTCCAGTCCAGCAAGTACCACGAGGGACTGTGTACCATGGGCCTGGTGGAAAGAGGCAGACCAACGACTTCCAGAAGTATAAATCAAGAGGCAGCGCCCAGCCATTCATTCATTCCTGCGGAAGCCATGCGGAAGCGCTGCCACAGTGACTTGTGCGAGGTGGTCTGCAGATGCGCCCGAAATCGAAGTGGGCTGAAGGAGAGTTAGCGCAGCCATAGCTGCTGGTAGTTAGTGTTAGTTGGCGGCCATAGCTGCTGTAGCTAGTGATAGGTGTGTATGCTTGAGTGTTACAGAGTGTGTGCGTGGGGTATTCAGGGTGATCCAGAGTTGAAGTGTGAGCGAACAGTGGTGTTGTTACACAGAGACGAGAGTTGGGATGTACAGGCGCTGATGCGCCATAGCCTGTTGAAGCGAGTTTACACCTGAACTGTGTTCTTGGTTTCCATGTCTCTGAGCTTTGAGTTGGGCGCTATGCGCCAGTGTGAATCACCATCCGTTTGTATGCATGCGCAGTGAAGAAGTAAGCGAGTCTGATTGCACTGGTATCGGAGCTGGTACCCGCCATCTCACGCGCATCGCCGTTGCAGCAGGGGAGAGACGTGCGCCATAATAGGGCGCCATAGCTGAAGTGCGCCACCCTTGAAGAAGAAGTCCGCCATAGCTGTGCTGCAGAAGAAGGTGACGTGTACCTGCACAGAGGACAACGACGAAGAGAGAGAGAGAGAGAGAGAGAGAGAGAGAGAGAGAGAGAGAGAGAGAGAGAGAGAGAGAGAGAGA